TTTTTTTTTTTTTTTTTTTTTTTTTCTTTTCCTGGACGGAGAGCATTGAAGTTTTGTTTTTGGTTTTAAATTCTTGAAGTTAAGAAGAATTTTGAGGATACTTTTGTATTCACACACCCACTCAAAAAAAGGACCATCTTCCGTCCACTTTTCTTTTCGCAAAGTCCATGATATGAACTTCAGAAAAGCAATCACTTTCTTCCTGAGGTATTGTGTCGGTCAAAAGCCATCTAAACAAAATACAAAATTTTGTAATCTTTGTTAATATGCAATCCCCGTCTAATATGTCAAAAATATTTGTTGGAAGGAGGGTAAAACTAGTTATAAATTTTAAAATTCATTTATATTCAAAATTGTGACTCTCAATTCTACTTTTCGCTTCTAAAAGTGAAGATTAACCCTATGAACCAAAACAAGTTCACATGCTTTCTACTAAATTTTTTTTTAGAAAGCTATTCGACCGAAAATTGAGCCATCAAAAAGTAAGGTACACGTTCTTGTTATATGAAATATTACAAATTATTGAATTAAACATTATATTTGAGTATGTAAAGTTTGGGAAGTAGGCGGTCTAAAATTAATGTCATTATTGACGTATATTAGTAAATGACTAGACCATATACTTTGTATGGTATGTCTTAAAACACCTTGTATGGTATGTCCTAAGACGACAAAAGAAGACATATTCCTTTTTGGTCAGAGGATTTATTATTATTTTATTTTATTTCTGTGAAGGGAGTAAGAAATTAAATAAAGAAAAACAAAGGAAAATAAAAGAACAAAAGCTCCCAAAACCAGCTACCAAAGAAAAATAAAATAAAAAAAAAGACAGCAACACTTACTGTCTAATTTAATATCTAATTTAATAAATGTTATAGCCAGATTTTTAGTCTCCGAATGTACTAACACTTTCAGTTTGGTTGTCAAAGCTATGACCGTCTGTATTGTGCTTTCTCTTATTGTACATAAAAAAATGGTCTCTTCGACAACTTCATATCAAAAATGCTTTCCTTAATAATATTTTTACTGAACATGTTCTGTTCATATGGAATAATCTCTTTGGTATATTGACTCTCGCTTTTTCACTCATATCTATCTATTAAAAAAAATCTCTTTATAGCTTAAAAGCAAGCTTCTCGCACATCATTTCAATGTTTCAACTTATTTCTTCTCTCACTCAATTTTTTTTTTTTTTTTTTTGCAGCCGTGCTGAATGTCTCTTTTTGTCTTTCATCAGCCATTTAACCTTATCTATCTGTTTCTTTATATTGATGACATTATTATTATCGACAACAAAACTCATATCTCCTTGACAGCTTTACTCGTGAGCTTCATTATGAGTTTGCTACCAAGAATTTGGGCTATTTTAGTTACATTTTTGGTCTTGAAGACCTATTCCTGATGATTTTTTTATTAGCTAGTTAAAATATACTCAAGATATTCTTACTCGTGCTCAGTTACTTGATAGCAAACCAGTCCACACCTCCATGGTTGTTTCTCAACACCTGGCTGTTGATGGCTCTCCCTTCTCTAATCATACTCTCTATCGAACTCTTGTTGGTGCCTTTTAGTACTTGACCATTACGCGCCAAGATATTGCCCATGCTATCAATTTTGTCAGACAATTTTTGCATGCCCCTACTGTAGATCACTTTCTTGCTATCAAGCTTATTTTTCGCTATGTTAAGGGAACACTTCACTTTAGCCTTACCTTTCATCCATTCACTATTCCTAGTGCGCTAGTGGCTTATTCAGACACTGACTAGGTTGGCTATCCTGATACTCATCGTTCTACATTCGACTATTCTATTTATCTTGGTAACAATCTTATTTCTTGGAGTGCCAAGAAGCAACTTACTATCTCATGCTTCAGCTATGAATCTGAGCATCGTGTTCTTGTCATGACTATTGCTAAATTTCTTTGGCTTACGCATCTTTTACATAACCTCAAGGTCCCCATTACAAAGCAACCCTTTCTCTCATGTGACAACAAAAGTGCTATTTTTTTTTAGCTCAAATCCCGTTTCTCACAAACGAGCCAAACATATTGAATTAGATTATCATTTCCTTTGGGAACTTGTTGTCACTGGCAAACTTCGCACACAGTATATACCTTCCCATCTCCAGGTTGTTGATATCTTCACCAAAAGTATTTATTGACCTCTTTTTTAATTTTTCAGATCCAAGCTTCACGTTCGTTCAAATCCGACGCCCAGCTTATAGGAGGTGTTGATGATATTTAATCTTTCATTATGGTTTATCATATGTATCATATTTGACCCTTGATTATAGGCTAATATTTCATATCATTGAGAATAACTAGCTTTCCATTACAGTTTACCATATATATCATATTTGTTCCTTGATCATAGGTTAATATTGTGTATCAATTTATTGCTCTTTCCATTTCTTTCGTAATCTATTTGATGTAAATGATTATAAATAGAGAACTTTGACCACCATTTAGATGTGATCGTTTTGGAAATATTCTCTCTTAGGACAACAAAAACATAATAAAAAAGAGTGTTGGTACCCTAGCATACCAAGCACACGATTAACAGCTATTGAATTTTCGTACTCATTCAAGTCTTCTCATATTTTTTAGGTAATAAGAAGGAGCTAGTGGAGGATAGTTGCCGATCTTGTGAACATACTGTTTTTCAACTATTTAAAATTATTTTTGTTTTGTAAACCAAACGTGTTGTATTTATGTTTTGTTCTAAACACAATTTTTTTAAAATGTAGTTTAGCTTATGTCTTTACAAGTTCAACTCAACTCGCCTTAATCGGGCCGGGATGCATTGCAACACTAGATGGATTATTTAGTTTAGAGAAAATTTTTCCTGTTTTCAAATTAATATTTAATATATTAAATATATTAAATATAAAAAAGAAAATATATTTATATATAAAAAAGAAAATATATTTATTGTATTTTATATCTAAAATACTAAAATAACACACATATAAGTAAATATAATAGATATTCAAATAAATTATTCTAGATTTCACAAATATACAAATGGAATATTTGGGTTAAGCGAAAAAAAAAATTCAAATAAATTATTCTAGATTTCACAAATATACAAATGGAATATTTGGGTTAAGCGAAAAAAAAAACTCCAGAGGCTTTCGCAGACAATGGAATGGAATCTTTGGATTAAGTGAAAAAAATATTCAAGAGACTTTCTTAGACAATGAAGAACTCTTCTCCCTTTCAACTCTCTAAAAATTTTCTNTTCAAATAAATTATTCTAGATTTCACAAATATACAAATGGAATATTTGGGTTAAGCGAAAAAAAAAAACTCCAGAGGCTTTCGCAGACAATGGAATGGAATCTTTGGATTAAGTGAAAAAAATATTCAAGAGACTTTCTTAGACAATGAAGAACTCTTCTCCCTTTCAACTCTCTAAAAATTTTCAAAATATTCAAGAGACTTTCTTAGACAATGAAGAACTCTTCTCCCTTTCAACTCTCTAAAAATTTTCTTTCAAGAGATTCCAAAAAAATGGTGCGCTATGTTCGAGTCATAACCGAAGTTTTTGGAAGAAGTTAATATTGTGGAGAAATTTCAATTGCTAAAAAATCTGTGAATGAAGTTTCAGATTTGGTGAATGAATTTCACATTAATGGAAAACATTAAGAGCCTTGCGGACCAAGATTTCTATAAAGGTAAGATTCGTGTAATTTTATTTTAATTTTTAATACAATCCTCAAACTGAGATGTATATGAATAAATAGTTCATTTTCTTTAGTAGCGCTACCCAGTATGCTAATGGTATGATCTAATGCAGTATTTCAAAATCACCGTGAATTGCAAACTTAGCTTCTCCTTATCAATTATCTATTCATAGGAAACATCTTCCGACCTTCATTATTAATTATCTATTCTGCTTAATATAAATATATCTTCCGTACCTGTGTACGCACATACGTGCACACTGTTAGAGGAACACGACTCTCCACAATGGTATGATATTGTCCACTTTAAGCATAAGCTCTTATGGCTTTGCTTTGGGCTTCCCCAAAAGGCCTCACACCAATGGGGTTAGTATTCCTCACTTACAAACCCATGATCACACCCTAAATTAGTCGATGTGGAACTTCCATCATCCAACACACACACGTAACACGTGCGCGCACACATACTGTTCACAACGTTTAAATAGGATAATTATTTTAGACTTATGTTAAGAATGAGAAACAAAAGTGGAATTGAAGAATTTTAAAAATAAAATAAAATATATTATTAACTAAATAGTTAACTGAATCTGGAAAACAAGTAAAAAATAAGAGAAAAATCCTAATATATTACAACTATATAAAATATATTCCAACATTCACCTTCAAAGTTGAAGAGTGTAGTAAATCACACCCAACTTGTCTTCCATAATATCAAATGCAAATTGTTGATAATATCAAATGCAAATTGTTGTCTTACCATTAGTGAAAACATCGTATTTGCCGATGTTATGTAAAAATTGGTTTGCTTTTTAGACTTCCAACAAATAGTTGAACTTTAGGAAAATGCAAAACCGAGAAATAGACAACAATGATTTGCTCCAGAATTGAATATCCTAACGCTTTGTTCATGCATAAATGATGTATTCCAGAATTGGTAATTTGTCCCCTTTTATAAAATATTTGACTGGAATAAGGGATATAGGGAGTGTTAAATCAACCTCTTAAATTTAAAAAGAAAATTTTGACATTTTTCATTTAAGAATACCAAAAAGACTTTCCCGTGGCTATCTCCAGATCCATTTGGTTGAAGAATTTGTGGAGGGACTATTGTGCAATTATTAATTATGTGGGGGACATCACACAAACTTCTTCGATTACAAAACACCAACTTCATTTCAATTAAACTAAAACCCTCAATCGGTATAGTTAGGAATGGTGGCGGAAGGGTCACAGGCCTTAGCCGCAGGCACAGGCTCGACGGTGACGGAGGGCGCAACAGGCTTCCCCCTCAACTCCGCCGGCAAATCCTCAATCCCATTCAAATAAAAGGTGTAAAACAGCTTATAAGGAAAGATGATCTGATGCAACTTGACCTGCCCGGACACGCCCTCAAAAATTCCACTTCCCCCGGTGACGGCCAACAGGGTGTCTTGATAGGTCAGGTAAGCGCCCTGCACCGTCATGTGCCCGTAATCGCCAAAGTAGAAGCTGTAGACGGCCTCGTAGCGGTCGCCTTTCTTCTCGGGAACGTGCTGGATGAGGATGCAGAGGCCGGCGGTTATGCCAATGCGCTTCTGGAGGTCGCCGGTGTAGAGCTTGTTGCTGAATGGGACAAGGTCCCCCAGTGCGTTCTCCTCCCTCTTGCTCAGCTTTAGGAATGCTGGGCTTCCCCTGTCCCGCTCGTTTATCTCGTACACGAACAGTTGTTGAACTTTTGCTGAACACACACACAAAAGAAAAAAAATTATATTTTATTTTTGAATTTATTCAATTAAATTAATAAAGAAGTGAGCGTTACTGGATTTTGCAGGCTCCGAGCTGGATTGGATTTTGTTGGAGAGGAGTGCTGTGGTGGTGAATTTGTTGGGGGTAATTCGGCGGGATGATGATGATGATGATGATCTGAGTGTTTGAGCAGAGAAGGACTGCGATTGTGGGAGCTTAGAACCCAAAAGCATGTGGGTTTGAGAGGGTGTGGGGATTTTAAGGGAAGAAACCACGCAAGAACTCAAGGACGCCATTACTGGAGGTGCCTCAGATCTCAAACCAAGGTCGGTACAGAGCAGAGATGAAGAGGAGGAGAGCCTTGTGTGTGCTTGCTTTCTTAATGCCAATTTCCAGATTATTTAAAGGGACACATTTTACACCACGTGACATGGACACCCAACAGTATTCGTATACCGCACCGTCCATGCGTTACACGTGCCACATTTTTTGCATTCATCTTTTCTTTTTTTTCTTTTTTTATATCACCTAATTTAGAATTTCATGTTTTTCCAAAGGAGGACTCCCAATTTAACTTTTACCGATAAAAGTAAAATATTATTAATATTTATAATAATTTTAAAAATAAGGTAAGGATACAATGAATCTATTCTTTTTTTTTTTTTTTAATAATATGAAATATTTAATTCACTTGCCATTTTAACGAAATATGCTTAGACAAAATTGCATTTAACATTTATTATGTGAAACCGTTTCAGTAAGTGCAAGATAAGATTCCTTCAAGAAAAAATGGAAAGTTGTTACAATTTTAATTCTTTTTTTTTTTTTTTTTGTCAACTTCCACAACGTGTATGATAGAGTATCTCACATTTTTCTTATCAATATATATATATTCACATATCTAAGGCTTGTTTTTTAAAAAATTTATATATTTTTTGTCCCACCAAAACATTTTTTTTTTCTCACTAACAATTTCACCTTTTGTTTCCCTCTTTCTAATTTTTTTTTTTTTTATATCAAACATATGCGCTTAATATAAAAAATTTGAAAAAAAAAATGAAAATAAGGAGAGAAAAAATATAGTTTGAGTATGAAGGGTGATAAATATGGTTTATGAGGGTGGTTGAATATACTTAAAGCAGGTGCGGACAAGTGATTGAAGAAAAATGGAATGTGTTGTTTGGTTATTGATTTTGCGGTAGCTTTAGTGGAAGAACCAACGCCAATTAAGCATGAAAAAGATGGATATGCCATAACTAAGCTTCAAAATGGTAACTACCACCTTATTTGCAATATCAACTTTTACAACCAACAAAAGATACAAAAAGTTTTAACTTTTCTCAATCCCACCCTCCAAAACTCTCTCTCAATTCTTTCTATCTGTGGTAAAAGTTTTCCTCACATCTCAGCAATTATACAACAACACAGTCAAAATTCTCTATGAGTTTGGATTAGTGAAGGAAGGATTGTCTTTAAGAAGAGATCTTCCTAGTTGAAGCTCCTCGATACAAGTGGAAAAGAATTCGAGGGACGAAGGCAAGCCGGTTCCGAATTAGATAGAAATTCAGCTAAGGCCAATCAAGTAAGTGACCTTACTATCAGCTCAGTCGGAAGACTTGCCTTATGTATGATGCCACGTGCCTAGTGGTTCTTGAACATGTCATTTATGCTTTATATGTTGTGATGTGTTGACTAAATTATAATAATGACATATGATATTATGATGATGCTATTTGATGATTATATGATGATGATGACATAATGATGATGATATTATAATGACGTTATTTGATGATAATATGAAGACGATGACATAATGATGATGATGTATGTTAATACGATGACGTGAGATCGTATGATGATGAGATGGTTTAGCATGACATTATTCCACATCACGATGATGTGCATGTATTGAATGACATGATGCATTATGACCATGATTTATTTTTCTAAAGACACAACCCTAATTGAAGTTAATGATGATGAGTGTATGAAGACCAAGACCTACATGTTGCTTAGAGTAATATATGAACGGTGTATAGGTTTGTGTCACGAAGATGATTTAAAGATGAAAACTATAGGGACCTTATGCATTTTGTGTGTACATATACATTAGGATACTTCCCCATTTATGATAATGAGTACGGACGTGTACACTATGATGATGATCATCATCATGCCTCGCATGACACTCAGAGATCTGCTGACCTCTGAACGTCGCTATGGGTGACTAACTCGATTATGATGGATCCAGGGGGGTGCGAACCGCCTGGAGATTCATGCTCGGACGTGTAGGTTGTGTGTAGAGAAGTACTATACATCCAATTTTTTTTGTATTGGAGGCCACCCTTATGATGGTTTTAAATGATAGATTTCTAGATCATGAGTTGCATAGGTGTTTGTATTTCCTAACCTCAATAGTGGGGTCACTTACTAAATATTTTAAGCCGTGGGCTACATTTCAAGTAAAGGCAAGTCATAAATATGGTATAATTATTGTAGTTTCACTCATGGCATATATGTGATATGAGATCCAACTAAAGGCATTCTAAAAAACGATATGAATTATATAAGATGGTGTCGCTCTCTTATGATTGAAACTATGGATTTAAGGTTTGAAGATGAAATGGTTACGTGGTTGCACCTCACCTTTGTATATGTATCGTTGAATTGAGTTTAAAAATGCTATTCGATGTGCAAATTATTTGATGTAAATTTATATATATATATATATACACGAAATATTTTGATTTGTTCAAATAAGTTAGTAATAGAGTATTTTATATTCATTACTATTCTATTTTTATTTATATTTATATTTATTTTTATTTGGTAATCTGTGGAGATGTGAAGGTTAGTGGGATATGGCAACGTTTAGTCAACTTTCACACTAAGCACCATATAGGGCAACGTTTCTCACATGGGAATTTGTTTAACGTGGCAATTTGGTCGCCGTAAGATTGATGGTCAATAAACGGTCGGTGATGCAATTTACGGTTCAAAACCAATTAAGATGCTGACGCCGAAAGTTCCACTCCAACCAGACCTTTGCTGTGTTGTCTCTAAACAGAGTAAATTAAAAAAAGAAAAAAAAAGAAAAAAAAAAAAGACAGCCCACAGTCCTATCCAGAATCTCCTTAATTCTTTACATTTACTTTTATTATTATTATTATTTATTTTAATTTCATGTATTCAAATATAGGTAAAATCTTTTGTTAACTTTGGAATTTAGATACAAAAAGTTAATACTTATTTTAGTCGACTTTTATGGGTCTTACCGATGATCTCACTATTCGTATACTGAGTATTGTATTATTAATATGGTATAACCACTTGACTTTCTAAAATTCAAATAAATAAATAACGTGAACATCAAGCAAAAAGAATTGGCCCAACTCAAAAAATGAAGATGAAAAGTCCAAATTTGTAACCGAGTTCTTAAAACTTTAAACCAAATGAGTTGATTATCATTTCTAAAACTTTTTGGATTTTATGATGGCCTTAGAGACTAAAATTGAGGTTGAGATAGGAGGAAAAATGCATAGAAAAACTAGAAGAACCTAAAAAATATAAAACAAATATTGAAAAATAAGGAAAATCAGTCCGAAGTCAAGCTATGGGAAAATGGTCATTTTGACCCTCTCCTAACGACGGGCCTGAAAGAGCCCTAATCAGCCCATTTAGGAAGAATAAAGAGAAAGAAAGAAGGAAAGGGATCCTGAAGGAGAAGGCAGAAGGTGAAACGAAACCCATTTTTCACTGCAACTTCTAGTCAGAAATTGGTACTAATCTCATTTTAGTTTAGTGTGAATTAAGTCCCACTAGAAGAATTATAAAACTTTTGGGCACCTTTTCAGCAGGAAATTGAGCTTAGAAAGACACATCCAACTATGTAAGTAAGCATTTGGATTTTTATTGAGCGGATGACTTGAGCAAGCATATATGCTAATAATACAAGCCTGATGTACGAACAGGTTGATATGAGAATAGCATGCATGATGTACGAATTACAAGTTTCCCTCCCTAGGATGAGATAATGAATTATATGTTGCTTCCAAGTTTTACACTGTACTAAAAAGGTGGATGAGAATTTGTGATTTGCGTTCTTAAGTGATTAAGTGATTGATGACCGTTATCTCTCCCTTAAGCATGTTTGTTTGCATGATACATTTTATGTTAGCTCCAGGTGTCTATTTGTATATTCTCCTTACAGAGAAGAGTTACAGTGATGAGATAGGATTATGACACTAGAGATAGGAAGACTAGACGATAACCTAGGTCAAGATGCCTCCCGTAGACTGAGTACCTTCCTAGACTAAGTCTCGAGGAGTCAATATAGAGTATTATGGAGTCGAGAATTCCTATTTAAGCCACCTAGCTGCCCTATAGACCTAATAGACCTCTACGACACTCATGAAAGACTAGAGTAGCTCTCTTGGTCGTTAGCACTATGATAGTGAGACTAATGCCATCACCACCAATCTTCTCCGGTATGCCCTTCGGGCTAGCAATGCCTTGCCATATGATAGGAGTAAAAAATTGTCGAGTCAAGTTTAGATATGGTAGTGTAGCGCGTTGAGGCAACCATATACTTTACCCCTATGCTGTAAAACCCGTCTTTAGAGGGGCTATGGAACCATGCAGGTAGATACAGTAGTTGGCAAGCACTCGAGGTCACACCCCTAAACTAGGGTGGCTATAGGTTTTGTGGAGAGTTCGCGATAATCTTCCATAGATGATATTCAGAATAGCAAACACCACACTATCCCACCAGATTATTATGAGGTAGCACTTCAACTCATGTAATGACTTAGTTTTTGATATCTCAAATCATGAATCGCCATTTAGGCTTGAGGTTAAAAAGGATGATAAAATTTTTAAATTTGTAAAGTGAGACACATGGAAATTTAAAATTCAAAGATGCATTGAAAATGGATACAAAATTAATTAGAGTACAAAATAGTATCCGGAGAGTCAAATAAAAAAGGTTTACAAAGATATACAAAAACAACAATTAAAAAAATAAAAAATCAAAATGAAAAGGAAAATAAAAAAAAATACTCGATCTAAAGGGAAACCCTGCTGCTACACGACTCCACATACTCCCCTATCCACTTTATCTGAAAAATTTGGGTAACATGGGATGAGTATGAGATACTTAGTAAGTTTCTCACTTGTAGGCTCTTGTCGGACTTAATCCTTACAATGATTCCTTAAGCTATGTGGTCATAGACTGACTTTAGCATTAGCCAATGCCATGACTTACCATTTATGCTAGCCCTATAAGGCTTATACGTAACTAAGCCCTATACACTCCTACCTAAAGTATATAACTAAGTTACTTGGGGAGAAAATATAGGGTTAGGTTGTACTTAGTTTGTT